CAAATACTTGCAGATTAAGTTACATCGTGCAAGAGAGTGTATTCAAAAAGGACTCATTCAGGTGTCCTTCATGCCAGGAAATGAAATTCCTGCTGATCTGTTGTCTAAGGTTGTTAACAGAGAACAACTTAAGGGTTATGTACAGAGGTTGCAATTGGGTTGAACCACAGGTACTACAGGTTACACTGGAAGGGGGAGGATGTTAGGATATAGTTCCGTTCCACCTTAAATGGTCAGGCATGATTGTTGTGTGTCACATGCCTGTTTACTTCCCGCTCACTGGGAGTTTTCATTTTGTATATAGCTTTTGTTCCGGCTGTTTTCCTGGACACGGATGCAAGCAGTCATGTTTTTCCTTTGTTCTGATCTACGTTGAATAAAGCTGTAAATATGCTCTCCTGGCTGAATCTTCCATTGTGGAAACTCTGCAGAAAGGGTGTGCACGAGTCTTGGAATGTGTCTGAGGCTCGTGTCGCTAATTCACTGATGCTGTTCTACGGGAGACCGGGAGATCGTCCGGAGACGACGTGGAGGCCTGCCTAATGTCCCTTCGTCTCCCTGGCAGTATCCCAACAGAAATTACATCACAAGGCGTAAAATATTTGTTACTAGGAATCTATGCACCAAATGATGGCAAAGCGGAATTCTTTAAGAACCTGGAAAAAAGTCTTTTTGAATATATGCATTACAAATTAATATTGATGGGGGACTTCAATGGAGTTGCATCCACTTTGATGGATAGGACTCAGAGATCAAAGGTATCAAATTCTGGCAGATTACCTAAGCCTTTTTTTTTACCTAACTGATAAATTTGATTCGTCAGATATATGGAGAATTAGAAATCCAATGGAAAAAGACTTTATTTTTTCCCCAGATGCAAACCAAGTATTTCCAAGAATAGACTACTTATGGATATCCAGAGACTTGGTTCCTAAAGTAACAAAAACGGAAATTTTCCCTAAAACTTGCTCTGATCATAATGCAGTTTTTATGGACCTGAAAATGTTTGTACAGGATTCCTTCAGATGGAGAATGAATGATGATTTGTTGAGAAGTACTTCAATTGTCAGGGGACGCGGGTGGCGCTGTGGCTAAAAGCCTCAGCGCCTAGGACTTGCCGATCGAAAGGTCGGCGGTTCGAATCCCCACGGCGGGGTGCGCTCCCGTCGCTCGGTCCCAGCGCCTGCCAACCTAGCAGTTCGAAAGCACCCCCAGGTGCAAGTAGATAAATAGGGACCGCTTACTAGCAGGAAGGTAAACGGCATTCTGTGTGCTGCGCTGGCTCGCCAGATGCAGCTTCTCACGCTGGCCACATGACCCGGAAGTGTCTGAGATGAGCACACAACCCTAGAGTCTGTCAAGACTGACCCGTACGGGCAGGGGTACCTTTACCTTTACCTTTTACTTCAATTGTCAATAAAGCCCAAAAAACCCTAAAGGATTATTTTGAACTCAACATAAACCAGGGAACGGAAACAAGGGTTATTTGGGACGCCAGCAAGGCAGTAATGAGAGGGTTTCTGATACAACAAAATTCAATTAGGAGAAAGTCACAGAATGAGAGAAAAGATAAAATTATGGAACAATTAAAAGACAAAGAGAAGAAGCTCAGAGGAAACCCAAAGAATTTGCAGATACAAAAAGAAATCAAGGCCTTACAGGTTCAATATTCACAGTTAGTAAATCAAGAAATAGAATGGAAGTTAAGAAGGATGAGACAAAGAAATTTTGAATCTGCAAATAAATGTGGGAAATTACTAGCCTGGCAACTAAAGAAGAGGCAAAAGCAAAGTACTATCACGAATATTGTAACAGAAGGAAAATCTGTAGAGAACCCTGCAGACATAAGAAAATGTATTTATAAATATTATAAACAACTGTATAAAAAGGACAAAGAGAACTTGGCAAAAATTGAGCAATTTATTAAGATTAACGGTTTGTAGCAGATTCTGGAAGATAAAAAGGACCAGGTGCGCAGCCTGGGAGTCATTTTGGACTCACAGCTGTCCATGGAGGCGCAGGTCAATTCTGTATCCAGGGCAGCCGTCTACCAACTCCACCTGGTATGCCGGCTGAGACCCTACCTGCCCGCAGACTGTCTCGCCAGAGTGGTGCATGCTCTAGTTATCTCCCGCTTGGACTACTGCAATGCGCTCTACGTGGGGCTACCTTTGAAGGTGACCCGGAAACTACAACTAATCCAGAATGCGGCAGCTAGACTGGTGACTGGGGGCGGCTGCCGAGATCACATAACACTGGTCTTGAAAGACCTACATTGGCTCCCAGTACGTTTCCGAGCACAATTCAAAGTGTTGGTGTTGACCTTTAAAGCCCTAAACGGCCTCGGCCCAGTATACCTGAAGGAGCGTCTCCACCCCCATCGTTCTGCCCGGATGCTGAAGTCCAGCGCCGGGGGCCTTCTGGCGGTTCCCTCATTGCGAGAAGCAAAGCTACAGGGAACCAGGCAGAGGGCTGGTAGTGGCGCCCGCCCTGTGGAACGCCCTCCCATCAGATGTCAAAGCGATAAACAACTACCTGACATTCAGAAGACATCTTAAGGCAGCCCTGTTCAGGGAAGTTTTTAATGTGTGACATTTTAGTGTATTTTTGGTCTCTGTGGAAGCCGCCCAGAGTGGCTGGGGAAACCCAGCCAGATGGGCAGGGTACAAATAATAAATTATTATTATTATTATTATTATTATTATTATTATTATTATTAAAAGATCCTACTAAAAGGCTTAATTACAGGACAGGAAGTGGAACAGGCAATAAACTCAATGCAATTTGGCAAGGCACCGGGACCTGATGGTCTATCAGCGAAATATTATAAGACACTGAAAGATTGGCTTATTCAACCTCTGGTAGAAGTATCTAATTTGATTCTACGAGGGGGCAAAGCACCTGAAACCTGGAAGGAAGCTTATATTACTCTGATTCCTAAACAGGGTCAAGATAGATAGATCCAGTATTAAAAATTATAGACCAATCTCCCTACTCAATGTGGATTATAAAATTTTTGCACATATATTGGCTAACGGGCTAAAGAAGGTTCTATCTAAGTATATCCACAAGGACCAGGCTGGATTTCTGCCTGGAAGACATATGAAAGATAATATTAGAAATGTTGTGGATATCTTGGAAAAGCTGAAAGCAAGAAAGAGTAGTAAAGCAATGTTAATGTTTATTGATGCAGAGAAGGCATTTGACAATGTATCTTGGTGTTTTATGCTATATAATTTTGAGAGTATGGGAGTGGGCCAAGATTTTCTAAATGGTATTAAAGCAATCTATCAGGAACAAAAAGCAAGAATTATTGTAAATAATGTGGTTTCGGAGGAAATTAGAATTGAGAAGGAAACCAGGCAAGGGTGCCCACTTTCCCCTCTGCTATTTATTTCAGTCCTAGAGGTCTTGCTAAGTATGATTAGAAAGGATGAACAAATTAAAGGTATTACAGTAGGATCTAAACAGTATAAATTAAAAGCCTCCGCGGATGATTTAGTATTGACAAGACCCAGACTCCAGTGCAGTTAAAACACTGGAGCTGATACAAGAGTTCGGACAGGTAGCAGGATTTAGACTAAACAAGAGCAAAACCAAAGTATTAGAGAAAAATCTGGACAATGATGAAAGAAAATTAGTACAAGAAAAGATGGACCTAGATTTTGTGAAAAAAAGTTAAATATTTTGGGGTGAATCTGTCTGGGAAAAATTTGAATCTATACAAAGATTTTTTAAAAAAAATTCTTTTTTTCTTAATTTTCATTTAATAAACCAAAAGTAAAACAAACATCATTAAACAATGTAAACTGGCATAGATTTCCATTACAGTCCTTCATTGATTACATCATCTTATTAATATCCCTCCTATATACACATGTTGACCTCCCTCCCGATTTCGGGCTTCTTAGTAAATCTTCCTTTTTTGCAGTTTCATTATTAATAATCTACACGTCGTAAGATTTATGTTATACCTGCTGTGGTTTTTAAGCTTCTAAAAGAATCTATACAAAGATAATTATGAGAAACTATGGAATGAAATCAAGAGAGACTTGGAGACATGGTCAAATTTAAAATTGTCTTTAATGGGCCGGATTTCAGCGGTTAAGATGAATGTGTTGCCAAAGATGCTTTTTTTATTCCAAGCCCTCCCAATTATAGACAATGTAAAAGGTTTTAAAGAATGGCAGAAAGCTCTATCTAGATTTATCTGGCGGGGGGGGGGGCAGAATTAATTACAAACTACTTACAGATTCTAAAGAAAGGGGGATTTTCCTTGCCAAATCTAAAAATTTATTTTGAAGCAGCAGCGCTCTGCTGGATTAAAGAGTGGATGCAATTGGAAGATACAGATACAGTATATTAGATTTGGAGGGATTCGATAAGGTGTTCGGTTGGCACGCATATTTATGGTATGATAAGGTAAAGGCCCATAATGCTTTTAAAAACCATGTAATTGGGAAATCTCTGTATAATGTATGGATAAAATATAAAGATATTTTAGAAAGAAAGACACCCAGATGGCTTTCACCAATGGAGGCAAAGGCCCAGAAAAAGTTAAATATGGATACCAAATGGTTGAGATATTCTGATTTATTATTGGAAGATAAAGATGGATATAAACTAAAACCATTTGATCAAGTCAAAGATAAGCTAAACTGGTTACATTACCACCAGATTAATGAATTGTACAAATTGGATAAGAAAAACAGTTTTGCTTCTGAAAAATCTAAGTTGGAGAAGGAGTTGTTGGATATTAAAGATGAAAATTTATTTTAAAATGTATAAGTTATTGTTCATACAAAAGATGAACAAGTTAAATCAGTGATGATAGATTGGGCAAGAGATGTAGGACATAATATAATGTTTGAGGATTGGGAAAGATTGTGGAAGAAAGGGGTTAAGTTCACTGCATGTACAATGTTAAAGGAAAATATAATGAAAATGATTTAAAAAACAAAGTGCGAGATTGGCTTCACTATTATCAGATAATGGAGGCATATAATTTGGATAAGAAAATAGGCTTCCAGGTGGAAAAGTCAAAATTAGAAACAGAACTGCTAGAACCCCAAACTAAGAATTTGTCAAGAATGTATAACTTGCTGTTGAAATGGAATACTCAGGATGAAACGGTGAAATCTGCTATGATTAAATGGGCACAAGATGTTGGACACAATATTATGTTTGCTGACTGGGAACAGTTATGGACCACAGGTATGAAGTTTACGGCATGTAATGCCTTAAGAGAGAATATTATGAAAATGATATACAGGTGGTACATGACCCCAGTCAAGCTTGCAAAAATCTATCATTTGCCCGATAATAAATGTTGGAAATGTAAAGAAACTGAAGGTACATTCTTTCACCTTTGGTGGACGTGCCCAAGGATTAAGGCTTTCTGGGAAATGATATATAATGAATTGAAAAAGGTATTTAAATATACCTTTCCGAAGAAACCAGAGGCCTTTCTTTTGGGCATTGTCGGTCAATTGGTGCCAAAGAAGGATAGAACTTTTTTTATGTATGCAACAACAGCAGCAAGAATACTCATCGCAAAGTATTGGAAGACACAAGATCTACCCACTCTGGAAGAATGGCAGATGAAGGTGATTGACTACATGGAACTGGCGGAAATGACTGGCAGAATCCGAGACCAGAGAGAAGAGATGGTGAAAGAAGACTGGAAGAAATTTAAAGACTATTTACAGAAATATTGTAAAATTAAGGAATCTTAGAAGGATGTTGGATAGAAACTAAGGTTTTTTTTTAGCTGTAATGCTTTAAGAGATATGAAAAAAGGTTTGCAACTGGGTAATTTTAATGGTAAGGATTTGCTGAATCAACAAATTGAACTGGAATACAAAAAAAGGAGGTATGAGGAGGTCCGGGGAAATAAGTATAAGGAAGATAGGTTATGGAAATTTAATGTCCTTTTAATTGTTTTATCTGGTATGTTTTCTTTTATTTTTTACTTCTTTGGTTATATCTTAAAAAAAAACACAACTTTATTTTTTCTTTCTTTTTGTATTCTGTATTTTTTGTACTTTTTTTAAACTTTAATAAATATCATTTTAAAAAAGAAAATATAATGAAAATGATGTATAGATGGTATTTGACCCCTGTTAAACTAGCAAAGATATACCATAACTGTGACAATCTATGTTGGAAATGTAAAGAAAAGGAAGGAACTTTTTACCACATGTGGTGGACCTGCCCCAAGATGAAAACCTATGGGAAAAGGTTTATAATGAATTGGGAAAAAATGTTGAAATATACATTTATAAAGAAACCAGAGGCCTTTCTTCTTGGAATAACTGGTCTGGAATTGCCCAAAAAAGATGTTAAATTATTTTTCTATGCCACAACTGCTGCTCAAATTTTATTAGCTAAGAAGTGGAAAACTCAAGAACTACCAACTGTAGAAGAATGGCAAATGAAGATGATGGATTTTTTGGAGCTAGCCGACCTGACCGGAAGAGTCCGTGACCAGAAGGAGGAGGAGTATCAGGAAGAATGGACAAAATTTAATGACCATTTAGATGAATACGTCAGGTTAAACCAATTGGAAATAGCTTGTAAGTACTAGATCGGCTTAGGATTTCATATAAGTTAAGTGATGAATTAATATGTTTAATCCAGAATTGGAAAGATAGAATGATGTTAAGTGATTAAGTTAATTTTATAAGAACTTTGATTTGGAAAACCGTTAAAAGGATATGCATTGAAATTCAACCAAGTGGAAGCGAGGAAGTCACTTAACAATGTTAATGAGTTTAATTTCAATAAGGTTATGATTTATGTTTGCTTGTCTATTTGTTTGTTTGCTTATAATTTTGTGAAAACCAATAAAAAAAATTGGGGGGAAAAAAAGAATGGATAGGTTTTACCTTCCCGCAGTCCATGGGACTCTCAAGAGTTTCCTCCAGCACCATAATTCAAAAGCATCAATTCTTCGGTGATCAGCCTTCCTTATGGTCCAGCTCTCACTTCCATACATCACTACTGGGAGACTTACTGAAATGGATGCTGCAGAATTTATTGCTCACCTACACATGACATGTTCTTATCTTGTAGTGCGTTTTCATACCAATGCACTAAGCATTCTGTGATGATGATGCTTCCTGATATTTTCACTTGCAGGCTGAATTATTTTTGGCAGCTTTGTAGATCTCTACAAAACTTTTTGTGATGATCTGTTGAAAATTAGAATATCTGTGTTAGCAGCACCTAGACTACAGAATTCATGATAAAATGCCAGCCCAAGCAAACCACTCATGAGAATGTTTTATAATACTTCTTTAAGACTATGAAGGCCATGAAACAGTTTACAAACACAGAACCTTTGCCTGAACAGTTGGTAATGTTGAAGGAATGGTAGTAGGACTTGGACAAGCTACAACCCAAATGAGCAACTGAATTTTCTATTTCCGTTTGTGAAAAAAAAGTTTAAACCAGAATTAATATTACTAGTTTCACACAAGACTAGTTTTGAATGGTTACATTTTAATATAGCCACCATACATGGCTCTTCTGTAGTTTATCTACAAAACTGTGAAAACTGACTTTTCAAATTGTACGTCCCCAATTTTTTTCATTCATATTGCAAAGATTTACACTGGTCAACAACAAATTTGTTATCTGCGTTTTTTCAGTTGATTTAGGACGAATCTGATGCGCTGAATCCAAAAATCACATTGGTTTTGCTCAATCAGGTCAAGTTTTTGAGCTATGGCCACATGTCTTTTTTACGTTTTTGTTCACATGTACGCTTGTGTGGAGCATTTTAGAAGAAGTTGGTGGGGGTAAAATGCCATGTTGAATAATTGTTTTGATTGGAAATGATTATTTTAATGACAAGAAGTATTCAGGTCCGATAGTTCTGGGTGACTATGTCGAAAAGGGATCAGTTTGAAGTCATAAAACCTCGAAATCTTCCATAAATTGGTGTGGCAAAGCATAAAGTTATTTTGGTATTAAACTTGGTGACCAGGCTAAAGCTTGGGCACCACACATGGTGTGCAAGGCATGCACCGAGACTCTACGTGGGTGGACCAATGGCAAGAGGAGTCTGAACTTTGGAATTCCCATGGTTTGGAGGGAGCCAACAAACCATGTCACTGACTGCTACTTCTGCGCTGTTGATGTGACTGGGATCAACAGAAAGAACCGGAGCAGCCTCAAGTATCCTTTTTTTAAAATAATATTTTTATTCATTTTCAAATACAAATTTATATAACCAATATCAGAATTTATCACATAATCTTTTTTTTTTACTTCCCCCAGTTTCTCTGCCAATCTTCTGTTTTGTTTATTTATTCACACATTTTCTAATTTTAAATATTGCCTTTGAAATATAACCTCCCCAATCTTATTCCCTTTTTTACAATATTCCTCATATTTTCACAGAACATCTTGAAAGCCTACAAGCGTTGTCTGTTCATCACATATACTTTTCAGATAATCTGTAAATTTTCCCCAGTCCTCGGTGAACTTCTGGTCTCGCAAATATCGAATCTTCCCCGTTAGTTTATCCAGTTCTGCAAAGTCCGTCAATTTCGATCTCCATTCTTCAACCGTCGTTAATTCTTCCTGTTTCCATTTTTGGGCCATGAGTATTCTCGCCGCTGTTACTGCATAGTGGAAAAGTTTACAGTCTTTTTTACATATTTCATTTCCTACAATTCCTAAAAGAAAAGCCTCCGGTTTCTTAACAAATGTATATTTCAACATCTTTTTCAATTCATTATAAATCATTTCCCAGAATCCTTTCACTTTTTTACATTCCCACCACATATGATAAAATGTCCCTTCTTTTTCTTTACACTTCCAACACTTATTACACGTTTTGTACATTTTTGCAAGTTTTACTGGTGTGATATACCATCTATATACCATTTTCATAACATTTTCCTTTAACGCAGTACATGACGTAAATCTTAATCTTTCATTCCATAATTTTGTCCAGTCATCAAATTGTATATTATATCCAAAATCTCTGGCCCAATGTACCATCACCCATTTAACTTCTTCGTCTTTTGTATACCATTCCAGCAGCATTCTATACATTTTTGATAAGATTTTATAATCATTACTTAGTATTTCTGTTTGAAATTTTGAATCCTTTTCCACATAACTGCACTCTTTAACATCCTTTTTAAACATTTCATTAACCTGATAATAATGCAACCAATCATATACATACTCTTTTACCTCTTCATATGGTTTTATTTTCCATTTCCCTCCTTCTTTAATTATCAACTCTCCATATGTTATCCATCTCCCCCTCATATTGATCTTTTTAACACTCATCACCTCTAATGGGGATAGCCAGTGAGGAAGTTTTGGTTCTAATAGGTTTTTATACCTATCCCATATTTCTATAAGAGATCTACAGAAAATGTGGTTTTCAAAACCTTTATGCATTTTCTTCTTTTCACACCATAAGTATGCGTGCCAACCAAATCTGTTGTCAAAACCTTCCCAATCTAACAACTCTCCATTTTCCAATTTTATCCACTCTTTTAACCAACAGAGGCATGATGCTTCATAATATAATTTCAGGTATGGCAGAGCGAAGCCCCCTCTTTCTTTCGCATCCGTTAATAACTTAAATTGAATTCTTGGCTTCTTACTCTGCCAGATATACCTTGAAATTACTCTTTGCCATTCTTTAAATATTGATGCCCCCTTGATTATAGGAATTGTCTGAAACAAAAATAACATCTTTGGCAGCACACTCATCTTTATCGTTGAGATTCTCCCCCAAAATGATAACTTCATCCTTCCCCACACCTCCAGATCTCTTTTTATTCCATTCCACACTGGTATATAATTATTCTGAAACAAATCAATATTCTTGGGGGTTAGCCATATTCCCAAATATTTGATTTTCTTTACCACTCCTATCTCTGTTTGTTGTTGCATTGTTTCTATCATCTCTTGATTCATATTTTTTGCGATTATTTTAGTCTTTTTCTTATTCAGTATAAACCCTGCCACTTGACCGAACTGCTCTATCTCTTCTAATATTTTTTTTTACACTTTTCAGTGTTCTTCCACTGTTAGTACCAGATCATCGGCAAAAGTTTTAACCTTATATTCATTTTTACCTACTGTCACCCCTTTTATTTCTCTATTTTTCCTTATTGATTTCAGGAAGACCTCCAGTACCAAGATGAATAACAATGGGGAAAGAGGACATCCCTGCCTTGTACCCTTGGTTATTCTTATATCTTCTGTAGTAATATTATTTACTATCAACTTTGCTCTCTGTTCTGTATATATAGCCTTTATTCCATTAAAAAATTATTTCCCCACATCCATCAATTCCAAATTTTTTAACATAAATTGCCATGATATATTATCGAAGGCCTTTTCTGCGTCCACAAATATTAACATAGCTTGTTTCTCATTCCTGGCAGTCAGATATTCTAAAATATCAATTATATTTCTTATATTGTCTTTCATCTGCCTGCCCAGAAGGAAACCCGCTTGATCTTTATGTATAATTTCTTGTAATACCTTTTTCATCCTCATTGCCGATATACTTGCAAAGATTTTATAATCTGTATTCAACAGTGAAATAGGCCTATAGTTTTTAACTTGTGTTAAATCGGAGTCTTGTTTTGGAATAAACGTGATAAAGGCTTCTTTCCAGGTTTCCGGAATTTCTCTTTCTTTCATT